TATTTTCGTGCTGAAGTTTTTTTTTATGCTTATTTTCGTGCTGAAATTTTTTTGATGCTTATTTTAGGTTTTTTCTAATTCTCCGGTTTAGTTTTTTTTGATGTCTATTTAGTTTTTCTTGATGCCTCACCCAGCAGTTGGACTGCGATAAGATCCGCGACTTCTTGTTGGTGGGGTCTAAACACAAGCATTCCGATTACGCGTGAGAGCCCAATACGTCTCCATGAAGTATATTCTTGAGGCACTGTGGGGACTATAACCTACTGGTCGGATTACATGGTGTGGCCTTGTCTCTTGTGGGAGTTTGCAGAATACGGGACCTACATAGGAGAATCCTGATAATCAGGACCTTCGAAGTAGAAGAAGGTAGCCCAGTCTCGGCTTCAACAGGTCGTTTTTCATTGGAAGCTCCTTTTTACTTCCTCGCGTTGCCGTCGCGGCATCCCACGGGAAGCAAGTTTCCCCAACCGTCCCAGGGGAAATTTTAGACCCTAAACCCTAAAGGCCCTATAATGGCCCTAAAGGTCCTAAATGACCCCAAAGGCCCTAAACCCTAAATGCCCTAAAGGCCCTAAACCTCAAAGGCCCTGAAGGCCCTAAAAGCCGCTAAAAGCCCTAATAAAGGCCCTAAATGGCCCTAAACCGCCCGCTGCCAGCGACCTCTGGCTCTCCCAGGAGAGTCGGCTTCGCCTTTCGCGTGGCCATGATGACGCAGTCGGAGGAAATGCTGAAAACCCGCTTCCAGGCGGAAAAAAGGGCTTTAAGGGTTTTTTGGGTATTCTAGAAATTTGGGCGGCTTTGGGGTTTTAGGGGGTTTCGGGTTTTTGGGACGTTTCGGGCTTGGGATTGAGGGCCATTGAGGGCCTAGGGATGAAAGAAAAGGGCAGACAGGCTTGGGGGTTTCCGAAAATAGGGGACACTAATAGAGCAACCTAAATAGTAGGATCCATAAAAAAAAGGGACCCCAAAATAAGGTACCCCCGTAATTCTCGGAAAGTCCCGCTTGGAGAGATTTTGACTGTGGCAGTCTCTCGAAGCTAAGACAATCTTTTACAGAACCCCTCTCAAGAACTCTGATTTTAAACCCCACTCGGCTTAACGGAGCACCCTTTATCGGGCCACTATGAGGCAGTTCTCCTAGGAATCTTCCTCCAGCTCGTGTTCGATGACAACAAGCCGAATGAGCAGCCTTGCGGGGGCTTGAGGGACTAGCGTTGCAGTTGGCTTTGAAGGGCTTCAGGGTTTGGGGTTTAGGGTTGAGGGTTTAAGGTTTAGGGTTTGGGGTTGAGGCTTCATTGTCAAGTGCAGCTCCAGAATCAGAGCCTTGAACATCGTCTGCTGACAGAAATACTCCTCTCGCCTCCAGATTGCTTGAAGGGAAGGGCGTGGAGACCGCGCGAAACAGCAGCCGTTCATCAACTTCTCTTCTGGATGGGGAGGTCATCATATCTGAGTTTGGAAAGATAGCACAAGTATCCCCTCATAAGGGACCCCTAGTTGGAAAGCATCTGCTTATCAGGGCATACCACAACAAAGCCTCCGGTATTTGAGGCGAGACACCCCATGCTTCGAAAGGCAGAGCACTGTGCCGATACTTCTGTTGCACGTTCGGCCCCTAAGCTCTATTCTGGCACGTCTTGTCTAACTTCTGTCGTAGCTCCCGGAGACAAAGTCGATGCCAGACATACGAAAGAGACACCAAACCTATGATCATGGGATCCTGGCTCACTACCATCTTACATCTGGGGGCACTGTTCGCGGGACGTGGAGGATCAGGGGCGCTAAGTTGATAAGTTCTGTAAGCTTGCTTACTCTCTGCTTACTAAGTCCCATCGCTCGTCTCGCTGGCAAGCCGTGTCCTTCATCCCCCTTACAGATCATCACCAGCCCCTTCGCACTGTCTTGCGCTTGCCGTTCAGGAGATGAATTTCGTGGAGTTCCAACATGCTGCCGCTGCCTCGGAAAGTCGAGTTTGGTGGAAACCCGACGTACGTGAGAGATGAAAAAGCCGGAAGCAGGGTCCACACTTCTGGACACTGCATGCATTCGTTTCGCTGAGAATGAGTCAGCCAGAACGCTGAAGCTGTGTCACCAGCTTCCTGCGCTTAGGTGGGTGTAGCTGCTTTCCTTCGTGGCCAAACGGCTCGCGGCCTGGCCGCCTCGCCCTCAGGAGAGAGGTAGCGGTGCGGGCATCTACTGCTACACTCACCAGGAAGCAACCATTAGGACCGTGGTGCTCGAGGCGACCACCAAGGGCTGGTGATATCAAGTGATGCTGCTCCTTTCAACTGCTGCTTCTCCTCTTCGGTGCTCGCTCGAATTGTTTTTTCATCGGCCAAGCGATCGACAAATTTGGGGGCCTGCGAGCACGTCAGGGGCTGAAGGAAGGCTCGTGCAGGGGTTCTATGCCTCGTCGACTCGGATCTGGCTAAAGCCAGCTTGCGTAGAGCTGTCGACTACAAACGAAATCGATCGTGCTTTTCCGATGAAACGCACAAGGATGGAGTGGAGGGATTTATCCGCGAGAAGCTGGTGCCCATTGCTCGTGGTCGCTGAAGGCCAAAGGCATGATTTCTGGGTTCACGAGTGAGTTTCACAATGTGGGTCAGGTTTTGTTGGAGGGTGCTGTGTTTGCATCGAGCTTGAAGAAGTGCACATGCAGCTCCTTCCCTGGGCAGAACAAAACCAAGAAGAAGCCTGCCAGGTGCGTTCGCGAGGCCAGAGAACGGTGAGTGCGGCTGCGACGCGGTCCAGCACGGGGGCGAGATGTCTGGTTCCACACTTCCCTAACTCTCGAACAGCCCTGCTGAGAGGCTTCACGTTGGGATGAAAGTGCGACATGACCTGCACTTGTCTTTATGCTTCGTCCTTGCAAAGTTCTCGCGGATCGGCCTACCCCTGGCTTGCAAGCTCGGAACTGACAAGGGTTCCCTGCTTCTGTGCACGACTCTGTTAATGCACCTTGCCTCGTGAGTGCACAGAACTTTGCAGAGGAACGAACTTCCTATGACTGCAAGCAGATCATCATATCAAAGGTCTGTCCACGGCTGCGAGGCTTGCATGCTGGAGGAATGTAAGCAGACAGAAACGCTTGTCTAGACGGCTCGCTTGAATACCGCCTCTCTCCAGTGATCCTTCCTTCCCTCCCCTTTGTCTGCCGGGATCCACAGGCATGTACAAAGTGTTGCCTGCGCCAAAGACTTCGAAATTTGCGAGGACCTTCGAAAATGCTCGGGTTTGATTTGGATCGCCAGGGGCGGCGCAGAGCTGATTTCTCAGCCCATGCCTTGTCCAGGCTAAAGGGAGAGGAGGGATCATACCGCAGCCCTTATCCACTGAAAAGCCTTCGCCGCTTCGAAGTCTTCATCTTCTAAGTCATGGCTTGAGCTCCTCAGCAGGGCGCTGGAAATCCCACGACTCAGCCGGAAGGCGAAGATACCCTGAAGCCCCTAAAATTAAAACCCAAGCATTGGCAACTCTGAGGACTCCTTGCGAGAGCCCTGCGATGGAGTTTTCCCCTCCGGAGCCGGGTGAACATCACCCCAAGCTCCGGAGAAGCGCCCCCTTTTCTGGGCTTGCAGTGATTCCGAAAAAAAAAACGGCAAAAGAAGAACCCCCAAGAACGGGGGAAGGAAGCAACCTTTTTGCCGGCTTGACCTGTTGGATTGGAGTGGTGTGAAGGTCAGAAGTTTACACGCGCTGACAGCTGGTGGGAGGACAGGGAACTCCCCACCCCCTCCCCCTCCCCCTCCTCCCCAACCCCCAAACAGCTCTCGTTCGGAGCTCAAGCCTTGGCACCAGGGACGTGGGGCCGGGCCAAGGGGGTACTTGGCAAGAGTTTTTCGTATATGTTTGAAAAACTACATCTTCGCATCTTCACGTAGCCCACTTTGGATGAGCTCAAGGTCAGATCTGTCCCTGTCTAGCCTCGTCTCGCCATGCAGCCCGTTCGTCTTCTGGTGCTGGTGTGCGCCGCGCTCGCGGAGGATGCGGTGCCTCTACCACCTCCGCCGGAAAACATGACGCTCGCACCCGTCCCTGAGCGCAGCCTGTCCGGCAGTGGCAGGTGGTCAAGGCTGCAATCGTTCGCCCACAGATTGTCCGGCGTGACGCAGACAGAGGGCCTCTCCGGCTTCGGCAGGGTGTCGGCCGGCATTCTGGCTGGCGCGTTCTATGACGACAGCCACGGCCTGCAGGGAGACGGGCGCCAGGGAAGCGAGAGCCAGTCATCGGGCAACACCGAGGTCGACTGGCAGGGTTCTTTGTTGATTGCCCTCCAGCTTGCTGCAGACGTGACTGGACACTATAGAGAAAAAGGGCTGCTAGGTCCAGGTGTGGCTTTCGCACTTGGCGTCTTCGGAGCCATCATGCCGGACGACAGCTTTGACCAAGACGATGTGTCGCAGATGATCGACGAAGCTCTGCAAAAGGCCAAGAAGGAGTGGAAGCAGGAGGTTCTGAAGGAGACCCGTGGTATCGTCCAGGATTGGAGTTGCAAAACGCCTCGAAAGACGTCGTCTCATTTGACGTGATATCCGTGCATCTTTTCCATAACCATAGCCAGAATCTGGACCGCTCCAGAATGGCAAGCTTGATTCCCACCTCCTTAATCCCATAATTCCGAGCCGCAATTATTCTGAGCAGGAAGCCCTGGTAACGGCCAGCTTGAAAGATGCACAGCTTGAGATCCAGAACTTCGTAAAGAATGTGGCCGCGACGCCTGCGTTGGACTTCCTCGAGCCTGATGCAGCATTATCCTATGCCATGGCCTTGGAAAACAGGATCAGCATTCTAGCGGAGAAGCTCTTCTTTCCCTGCATGGACTCTGGGTGGGGCACCAAAGAACTTTGCCTGCAAACAGATTGGGAAATGGGAAAGTCGGTCCGTTGTGTTCCCCCTAGAAAGCCACCGAGGGTAGGGCTCAGAGCCAATATAAGGTCTGCCTTGAACGTGTGGGCTCTGGTACAGCTTATACGCTCGATGCATTGGTCAACTTGCACTCCTCAGTCTTCGCTGAGATCTTCCGGACCGGAAGGGGGTCTCCTGATTTTGGGGTTGCTGCGGGAATTCAGGGTCGAGGATTGTGGTTCCCGGTAGAGACGAAGTGACTGGTGCCTTTGGCTTCCAGGAGAGGGACGATTCTAGCGTTTTTTGCTTTGTATTTGCAGCGGCCAGGACCTTGGAGAGGAAGTTCCGTATGCTCCAGGATCACTGGTCCAATTTCTCCAGTGCGAACGCTGGGCTCCAGGACTTCGCAAGGAGCCGGATTGCAGGGACCTCTCAGTTGTGTTGAGTGAGTGAGTGAGTGAGTGAGTGAGTGAGTGAGTGAGTGAGTGAGTGAGTGAGTGAGTGAGCGGCAAGCTGCGCACGGTGGGATGCGCAACAGGCCATGCCTAAGGCGCCGATCCCTCCCGGCTTCGCAGGGGGCTCCGCGAACGTCATCGCCCCCTCCACTTGGAGTTCACGTTTTCGAACGCCCCAGCCCCGGAATCAGCGTTCCAAGGCCAGCAAGGCCCAGTTAAGCAAGAGGGTTTAACTGACGCCGCATACAGCAACAACTAGGCAGGCCTGCCAGCAGCGAAGCTGGCATAAGGGCAAGGCAGCGTGTCATCCTCGCGGAAGTGCGTGCGATACGACTCTTCCCCCCAAGGTCCCCCTTGAGGGTACTAGGCCAGTCAGTCAACATCACCTCTGCGTCGGGCTGTGCCTGGCCGCGCGCCAAACATGGCCAACACGCTTCTCCGCAGATCCTTCTACGGATACTAAGTGTATAGCGCGACCCGATATGGCTCCGAGCACTCACACAGTCACCACCTTTCCTGGATAAAGGGAAATGGAAAAGCATCCATCCCCCCACAAGCAGGTCTCATGACAGTATACCCTCGGACTGCGCGGGTGAAGGCCAAAGCCATGGCCAACACCCACCTCGGACGAGGGGGTCTCAGTTGTGTTGTTTGGCATGTGCTAAGATGCGGGGAGACCCCAACAGGACGACGCTGAGAAGCAACTTCCAGCGCGTGGGATGCCCCAACGCCAATCCTTCTCCGGGCGCTTTGGAGAGCTTCAAGGCAAGAGTGCATGTGGGAAGCCTGCTGAACTTTTCACGACAGGAAGCGTGACAGGTCCCTTGTCGTGCCCAGAGTCCAACTGCCATTCGAAACTGCTTGTGGCCAGGTGGCCAAGGTTCCCTACGTCCTTATGAGGCACGACTTGTGGCGCGTCACGTACAGCGAGGTGTTCAGCGACCTGGATTCTGCGGTGGCGAGGTATCATGACCCGTCTTTCAATCTTAATTGGGCGAAAGCGATGATGATTGTCAACAGTGACTTCGTGAATCAGAGACACTACGAGCACATTACGGGCCTCCTGGCATGAGCCTGTTTACATCCTTCTGACATGAGCCCTTTCGCCCGTACTTCTGCTGCTCAGAGGTTACTGGGACGGAATATCGAGAGACTTCAAGGATCACTACGATCAGAAGTACAAGGCTGGCTTGTGCAATACTGTTGCTGCGGGCTGCCTGTATGTAAATAAGTGAAGGCGAAGAAGATAGCGAACTTCAGAAGCCTGTGCCTTTGAGGATGGATTTGATATAGCCCGTGTGCGAGCTTTACGCTCCCAAGATGCCTCCTCGATCCCGCTCTTTAGGCAAGCCTTGAGGCACGAGCCTCCTGAGGATGAGGTAAAGTGCGGTACAGAGTTGGCGAAACCGGGCTCTTTGCGCGAAACAGGCCGGCCCAGAAGGACCCTTCTTGCCGTTCGTCGTCATGACCCACGAGAATTGGGGTGTCGTGACGGACAAGATCTTTGCCGACCGCGACGCGGCGATAGCGTACTTTGACACGCAGCCGCTTGGTGCGTTGAGTCAGGAGGGAAAAGGTTATAATTACCTTTTAACACTGACTACTAACGTCTCGTTAGTCATTTTACAGAACCCGAAACCCTGAAGAATTTTACACAATTTTCCCCCTCTGTGACACTGTGAGGCTGAACGGCGGGCCGAAGGCCGCTGTGGTGGTGGATGGCCGGTTCACGGAGCTGCGCTGGTATGGGTCAAACAACGAAGGCCAGGCTTTTTGTGGCACGAAAAGACCTAGAATTCAACAGATGTTTACTGCACCTCAGGTGCCCTGCGAGCGGACTACCTGAAGCATTTCAAGGCGAAGTACAGCCCCAAGGCGCGCATTTCGTGACGCATGCTGGGTTCAACCACGTTTTTTTTTCTAAGGACGTCCACTTGCTCGACAAAATGCACGGCTACTGCAGAGCGATGCAGATGCAAAGCGACCCCGAAATAACAACGACTGCGACCGATGCCGAGAAGGCCAAGGAGTGCTGCGGCGATGGCCAGTTGACCTGCCAGCTCACGACGGCCAATAACGACTGTTCCGAGGAGACAGTCTTGCAGACCGACATCTACCGGACTATGCAGAGGAAGTATAACGGGGTCAAAGCCGGGTACCAGAGAATGCTGGCCAGAAGCTTGGACAAGTTTCTGAACGCTCGGCTGCTCAGCATGTCGTGTGTCTCTTTCGATTGCCGGGATGCCCAAAACATCTCCGACACGTTTCCATATGTGCCACGCAATCTGGAGAACTTTGAGGGTGTTGCGAACCTCAAGAGGGAGACTTGGTCAAATGCCATGCTTGCCTTCGAAAGGAGCAGCATCCTGCTGTCGGGAAGAAAGGTCTACAGCTTGGACACACCGGAAACTGACTGGGTGACGGAGACGGTCTCCGTGGAGCAGCAGCGTGGCTATGCCAGGCTTATTGGGATCGTCCCGAAAGACAGGAACACTCCCCTCCTGAATATCAACGGCCAAGATTTCGAATTCCCAACGTGCGGCGAGAGCCAGGGAGTGGGGCGCCCTAAGGTCTGCTCAGAAGTCACTCATTGGTGGTCCTCGGATGATGCAGACGATCCTTCACCGATCTTCTGGGATTTCAACTTAGCAGGCAGCGAAGTGACAATCACCAAGAGGTCGCAAGCGTACAATTATAAGGGGGCGTTTTCCAACTTGGTCTTGCAAGTTCAACCTACTCCCCATGCATGGCCACAGCTCCTCCCGCCCAACTTGGAGAGTGGCAACGACGAGAACAACCTGAAGTCAAACTACGGGTGCGAAATTTGGGGAGAGAGGAGGCCTCGGCTTTTGAATTTCGTGTCAGGCCGTTCTTGGTTTGCAAAGAGCTTTCGGCAGGTACTTAAAATGCACCGGCGAGGACGATTTCCATGGCGCGCAGGGCGGGGCCCTGCGACTCAAGTTCGTGAACCCCTTGAAGTGGGAAGTTCGTGCCTTGCCAGATGAGAATCCAGGAAGAGTTGCTCAAGACGGCTTCTTTTGCTTTTGTGCTGAGTCGAGACATTGTGCGGCCGAGGTTTCTACATGCGCTTAGAAGGACTTGGAGGGGCAATTGGTGGGAGTGCTGCCGCGCTCCTATTTCCCCAGTATGCGCACAGTGATTACGCCTTTGTGCACGCCTACCACCAAGAAAGCAATCATCCTCCCAAACTCTTCTTGGATGGCACTTTGGCCGTTAGGAACGGAAACGCCGTCAGCGTTGTTCTTGGCTTCGAAGAGAAATGATGTTTTTTTCATGTGGTGTTTAAAATACGGTGCTCACGGTGGCAGTTTAGCATGCGACAGCCCCCCTTGCATACTCCGGCAGTGATGAACAGCCCAGGGATTCAGGGATTGGTGGGACATGCACAACGTGGCTGGCAATTCGAAAAGGAACGTGATGGAGTCGCCGGTGGAAGATGGCAAATGGCACAGCTACCGCGTCAAGAGGAGCCGTAAGTCGAGCCTGCAGAGTGTAGGAGAGATTGTGGTGTGTTTTAGAGGCTGGTGTGGTGGTCTATGCTGTCAGGAGTGAAGGGGCCCTTTGGGTCTTCATTGACGACGTGCTGGTCCTGCATCACAACCTTACGGGCTGCTTTCGTGAATGGGATGCCCACGAAAATGGAGGTCACTCCTGCCCCAGTGACTGCAATGGTTGCTGGAACCAATGGGAAGGAGGACCCATTACTGGACTCTGGATTCGGCCTTGGCGGGCTGAGGCCTCCATCTGGGGGTTTCAGGTGGAAGACCATCCCAGTGGCATCCACGTGCTCAACAACTACAACGACGAACACCAGGTCTATGGGAAGTACTTCAGCTTCAACATGGAGGACGTCGGCAAAGCAATCAGTTAACCTCACAAGCATCACCAGCAAAGGCGTGCAAAGGAGTAACACGAACATGGATTCAAACGAGCACGCAAGTGAAATTTGAGTAAAGGCCTCCAGCCTGTCGTGCATAGAATGCCGTTCGGCCGCAAACACTCTAATTTAATTACATCGATGATCATCGGTTGTTGCTTTATAACAGGATTTTCCTGTGCAGCCGGCTGCGACGATGCCAGCGTTGAACCTCAAACAAGTATGAAGCCTCCTACCAACACCTCACGCCATGGCAGCAACAAATTGAAAAATCGGCTGTTCATCTACGCGAAAAAAGCCGAAGCCTCCGGTTAAAGTCTCTGCCTAAGCCACAAAAGCTTGCAAAACTACTTAGCCAAAGCTGGACCTTGAGCTGCATCATTCTCCTTTCGGCATCAGGTGTAGGACTGGGACGTATAGTATGGTTCGAGCCTGCGCTGCAGGACATCGACCTTAGCGTCGACGACATCTCTGTGTTGTATCATAACGGTCGATGGGCCAACCAAAGATTGAGAAGGCAAGTACGGCGCTGCAGGTATAACGATGATGGATCTCTCCAGGGCACCGGTGAGACTATGGACGTGAGGCCGGTCGTCCGGAACAAGTTCTCACAAACATGGTGCGGACGATGCATCCTCCAAAGCTTGACTCAAGGTTCAGAGGCTGTAGCCAGCAGTGATCTGAAGGTGTGATGGGTACAGGCTGATAGGGCTACGGTGCGTGTTTGTGATAGTTCGTATATATTCTTTACAGGCCTAGTGGCACGGGTCGACAGTGAGCACACCCCCCTCCCTGCGAGCGCAGCTCTGGGGGGGCGGGAGGGAAGGGGGGGGGGGGGGGGG